AATTGGTTGCACAAAAATATGTGCATCTAAGCATTTTAACAACAAGTATTACATACACATATTTATTAAAGTAAACGAATTTCTACAGTTCTAGTTTATAATATTTTTTATATATTTCTTAAAAGAATGTATTTTAAACAGCAAAATTATTTTAGATTAAATTGAACTCCTCCAAAAATAATAAATAAATTATATTATTAAATATTAATTTATTGTTATTTATGTAACTATTAAAATATTTACTATTTAAAAAAAAGTATCTTGAGGAATATTATTTTCAAAGATAAATAAAACTAAAATCAGGATTTTTTTATTTACTGGATTACTAACTTTGTACATAAAGCAGCCTAACCCATATACACAACTGTCTTTCTCCGTGTAAATCATGAGAAGAAAATCTTCATTAGAAGTTGGTGGTGCTGTGTTGGTGGCTGCATTGCATTGGCGTGTGGTTGCATTCGGTGGCTGCTTGCATGAGTGGCAGCGATACAGATAAATATATGTTTGTGCTACTTCATGGCTGCATAAATCCCACATGCGACAAAGTGAAAACTTTTCGTTGGCCGCACAGCCCGAAGAAGATGACTATCATCTTCACTGGGCGATGCTATGCGGTGCGATGCGATGCTATGCAGCATCTGGAATGCGATTAGATGCCGCTAATTGAAATGTTTGTCAAAATTCACTATGTCATCTATTTCAAAGCCTAAACTGCCTCTTGCTTATGGCCAACTTAGTTGCACCTTTTTCCAAGAGGGGAGTTAAACAAGACACGCCTCAGCAAACAATTCGAACGCCTAACTGCATTTGAATTGAGCCAGCAGGCTGGCGAACAACCTTGAGTGGCTTTTGGTTAATTACAGCCGAGGAAAACTGCATCACAGAGTGTGGCACACATCCGACTGGAGAAACTGTTTGGGGAAGTAAAGGAAGTTTGCCGAAGAAGTCCATTTGAAAATTGGCAATCAGGAATGTCTGGCATTTCGCAAACTCCGTTCGAGGCTAAAGCCATGTTTTGAAAATCAATAACAAATTTCACAAAATGAAAATATACTCTTATACCACAATGTATTGAGGATTTTGCAGAAAGTAAAAAATACAAAACATAATTGAAATTGATTTTGTATGCTGGACTTATTTTAACATTTTCATTGTTAAGCTAAAAGGCTGCAGATAATAAAAAAAAAAGCATACATTTAATAAAACATGTCATATGCTTTTTTGAATATTTTTAATAAAGAGTGACTGGAAAATATTCTTTCAATTATTTATACTTGGCAAACAGCAGAATATTTTGTTGATTAAATTAAAGCAAACAAATAGGTGTTAGAATTGTGCAGAAAAAAATACATGCGATTTTTGGAAATGTTTTTATAAACGTTCACTGAAACTGTGAAAATAATCTATTTTGTACTTCTTTCTTATTTTTCCCCTAGACGACATCTATGTGGAATATGTGAATGGTATGCCACATATGACTGTTCGGCTTCCCAGTCGCAATGAACTCTGCCAGTTCGCCCTGAAACCGATCTCCCACAACGTTGGCGATCTGTTAGCCATGCTCAGAGCTGAGGATCGCGGCATCGACCGAGCTGCGGTGATCAACAGGCATGGTGTGAGGATCGCCTCGTCCTGCACGATCGACAGCTTGCTGGACGATTCCTTTAGGTGGGTTTTAAGTCACAAATCTTCAAAGTGATCAATAAAGTAACCATTTTCAAATTACAGCATACAAATCAACAACCGCACATTGGAGGTCAATCCACCGAAACGTGAGAGGATCACAGTGGAATCAGTGGACAAAGTGGGTGATGTGCGCAAGGTGATTGCTCAGGTGAGGTATTTTAAAAAAAATGTCTATGAATTTAAAATAAAAGTATAAATATTATGCATAGCTCTACGAGGCATTCAACGTGGGCGAATATCAGCTGGAGAAGAGCAATCAACTGGCCAAGGAACTGGAGACCCTACGCTATGAACTTGAGCCCCTGGAAGAGGTAATCTTTCAAAAGTTTGACAGCCCTAAAAATCATATTATAACAATACTTAATTGATCTGGAAAGTAAGAGATCTGTAAAAATAATATTATAATAATATTTAAGTTAAACAACTCTCTAAAAATATTAATATAATAATATTTATTTGTTAAAATTTCAGAAAAAACTAGAACTGAGCAAAAAGGCAGCTCGTCGTACCAACTTTATGACTTGGATGGGTCTGGGATTAATGTCCGTGCAATTTGGCATCTTGGCGCGCCTGACCTGGTGGGAATACTCTTGGGATATTATGGAGCCCGTTACCTATTTTGTTACCTACGGCACGACAATGGCCATGTATGCCTACTATTGCGTTACCAAGAGGGTAGGTTTATTTTTAAAAATTAATAAAAAGTAAAGTAAAATATTATTATTATTATTATATTAATATTTTAGGAGTACATGATGGAGGACGTGAAGAACCGCGAGTACTCGCTCACCCTATATAGAAACGCCAAGAAGGTCCAATTCGATGTGGAGCACTACAACGATCTGAAGCGGAAGTCGGCGGAGTTGGAGTACAATCTCAGAAGGATCAACGATCCGCTCAACATGCAATTGCCATCGCATCTGGTACGCACCCAGGAAAATACACCACCAACCCAAATCGAGGAAAAGACGGAGCGGAAATAAACTTAAGGGCTTCTTAGTCACAGAGACAGGGGAAAATGGAAACTCAAACTATTTTTAACTTCCTCAAATTAGAAACGAATAAAAGTCCGCCTTATAGCTAAAGAAGTTCAGGTGATCGAAATGTTGTAGTCAACGTTAGAAATTATTTTGTGGACGCATCACATGTTGTGTAAATTCAAGCTTAGTTTTTCTCTTTATGTTAATTAAAATGTTTTAGTTGTTTATTTTACGATTAATTAGCCTAAGCCAAAGTTTGACGATTCGCAAAAGCGTACAAGGTTAATCGGACGCCTGCAGTTTAAAGAGCTGATAACATTATTTTATGTTTAATTTTTAGTTATTTATTGCAAGTGAGAGATTTGTTTTACGCCTAAGGCAAATATTGTGTGTGCAAGTTCTAGCAAAATATATGAATTATTTATTGACTATTATTCCCGTATGAGTTCTATATTTTTTTTTCCCATTTTAGCATTCAAAGAAAATACCCGAAATAATGGTTGCTTACCTTTAGCATTTAACATTGAAGCGTAAGGCATACTTTTAGGTCAAAAAGTCAACAGACTGTTTTTATTATTGGGTTTAAATAACACCTATGGAAAAATTAGACAGAAATTAGATTTTGGCGGTGAAATTGTTGAAGTTTATTTGAACTACTGCGAAAAATCGCGACGACATTAATAAACCAATCTAACTAACCACCAAATATTAAAGACATCGACAGTTATAACCATTACCCGGATGTTCGTCTTTCTGAATGCCTGCGGTCCAATTTTTCAGTGAATCTGAACTCATCCAGTGAAATCTACTAACTCTTCATAAGCTTTAATATACCATACACTATGAGAACAACTAGAACGAATCAATTTGTAAATAAAAACGCACCAACTATTCCATTAAGATTTTAGCAACGGAAAGTAAGCCATTTCATGGAGCGATCGTAGTTAGTAAAGTTATCGAAATCCTAAGCGTAATTTAGTAGGTATGTTAGATATGTAAATATATAAACTGCTGTGTTTCATGACAACGTAAACGATATGTAAGAATCACACACGATTTATTTGCAATGCGCGAGTCGAGTCGAACACAAAAATTAAGCTTAAAATTAGTTTAGAGTAAGCCTGTTGGGCTCCCAAAAATTTACCCCTATTACGCTTTCTTCCGAACTCTACAAACCTATATACTCTTAAACTTAGAATTGTCAATGGTTGTGTTGAAAACTGTTTGCCTGTGCTATCAACCCAATCCTAGAAATCAATCAGTGGACTCCAATCTCCAGCAACAATCTACACACATGCATCGCTTTTCAATGCGCTCACTATATACAAATAGAAGGATATAGTCGAGTATCCCGACTATTGGATACCCAGTACTCACTGCAAAGTTATAAAATGAGTTGCATAAGCGAAAGGCATTGGTCTGGATTGCATCAATTCAATAGTATAAGCTACATTTTGATTTTGTCATGTTCTGATCGGCGATACAGTGTAGAAGGAGAAATAAAATAAACTTAACGAGTACTGGGTATAAAAAAACGCACACATGGTTCATATAAATCGCACACTAACTAACTAATCGACATTCGGAATGATTAACTCTAGCCTAAGCATTTACCTATGCATATTTATAATACTTTAACGACATTTGTGATTCAATTTCAAATTATAAAATGGAAATTATTTATTGTACAAAGCGATCTTGACATTAATCAAACTAAACCGAATAACTTTGAAAGTATTTTGCCTAACCCAAGTCCCAACTAACTTTTGCGTTTATCTAATGAATTATACATAAATTACCTCCTAGAAGTATTCACGAAAACTTAAACCTAATCTGCGCCAAAGACTTATGAATACATTTAACTAGTTACTCTTATACATTCCCCTAAACTGACGTTAACGTTTTTTAAGCCCCTACTATTTATACGTATCTATTATTAACCGAGAGATTAACTTGTTTCCAAAATGTTGCCTAACTGCTCTCACGAGGTGCAAGTACTTATAGTTCTCAAGTACCTTCTTTCATAAACAACTAATCTTAACATACGATTACCTATGTCTTTTTAACGAATTTAAAGGAAACCCAACACTAATTAAGTGCATTAATTAATTACATTGTTTGAATTTTGACATAACCACCAAGGCGATTTTTTACATTTATAAAACCGAAAAACTCGTTTGTTAAACTAAAATTACAAAACTACCCAAAATCCCAAGCTTGAAAACCAAATCGAATGAAATAAAAATAAAAACTATGCAACATATGCGAGCGCAAACTGATAAAAAATAATATGAAATTAAAATAAAACCAAGTTATTAATAAAATGAGTACAGCTCTCGCATTTATTTGCTACTAAAACGCGCAAAAGGTTAATAACGAGATTATAGAAAGTCGAACCCCTTACCATCAGGCACATCTGATCTCCAGCCTGTAGCACATGCTGGAATCGGTGGCATTCCACCTGACCAACTCGGCAATTGGCCGGCTGGACTTGAGGAAGAGCGTGAGGCGTTCGTTCAGTTGGAGAGGCGAGAATTTGCTGACTATTAACGCCTTCGTTGAGTCCCTGTACTTTCCCATTAGCGACTCGTTACTAAAACTTCGTCCTTGTCGATCCGCCAACTCGAAGGTGTGCACCGCCTTGTTCTCCTCATCGTCAATTAACCGATAGCTGGGCTGTCTGTACGGATTGTAGCCCAACTTTTTGCATATCTCGCGCACTTCATCGACTTGAAGGGGTTTGCTTTTGGGGAAGCATTTCGTATGCCAGATGCCATAGGTTTGTTCAATAACCTGACCGTACTGAGGAGCTGTCTCTGGTTGCCTAAGAAAATTACATTTAATTAGATATATTTTCTGATTCTTAAGGAGTTAAAACCGATACACTTACGTGTGCTGACTGTTGGCCCAGAAGTCCTTCTTTTGCTGATGCAGTGGGTGCTCTATGCCAAAGCAATATCGCTCATCCTCGCCATTCGGGCAATCCTTCTCTTTGTCGCACACAAAATCTCGGGGAATGCAATCCTCAGGAGAGCTGGTTAAAATACAAATTGAGTGTGCTTTTAAGGATATTTACTAGAATTTGATAGTCACTTACGAACTGCATTGAAAATGATCAGCAGTGCAATTGCACAGGACGGAGCTCTCATCGCTTTTGTCCCAACAGTTTCGCTTGCCATCGCATATCTTTGAGGGATCAGTGGCTCTATAAAATATGGAAATTCATTGTGATTAAATAGCATTAATATCCTTGGCTGAAACCCACTGCAGATAAGTAAAGCAACTACAGATGGTAGGCTCATCCGTCATGTCCTCGCAGTCTGGCATGTGGTCACAGAACTTGCTCTTCGGCACGCATTTGAAGCTGGTGCGACACTTCATCTCGCCGGGGGCACACCGCTGGTTCAGCTGTCGACATTTGGTTTCATCTTCATCGCTGCCATCATGACAATCGGATCGGTCGTCGCAAATCGCCGTCTGGGGCAGACAAGCACCCAGCGGGCAGCGATGGGTGTTGCATTCCGGGGGAGGCTGAAGCATTTTGCAGCTGGGCTTGTCTATTAATGGGAATTTAAATTAGATTGCGCAGAGCTTTTGGAATAGCAACGACTTACCTATAATATCCTGCAGCGATTTGTATGCCAGCTCCAGCGTTTTAATGCCAAATGGCTGTTTAAAACTTTGGCAATCGGAATTGTTGTAGCTAAACATGGCCGTTGGGAACCAGCCTGTGTGCGAGTCCCGACATACCAGCACCCCCTGATCGCTGGGATTGTGATGCAGCGAATCGCTGACATTTTTCAGACCAAACTGATTGCAGCTGGTGAATTTGGTGATTGCCGGCAGCTCTGTGGGCGCCACCCCGTTAATGAGTTCCACCTCCTCGGAAATGGAGGCCATGTCCTCGGCACTAACGTTCAGCAGGCGCATCAGATTGGCCGGCGGCTGCTTTTCCTGCAGCTTGTAGCAGGAATCACAGTTCGTAACGTTCGCTATCCGGGTGATGGCCACAGTTTTGATGCGTCCGGTGACATCGTCATGGAGCACACTGATGCAGTCCCTCGCAGCGGCGGGATTGTGATGAGAACTGGAAGAACAGCAAGTTTAATTACTATTTTGAGATGCTTAAAACGAAGTGAGCAACTCACAGGTCAGGCAGGAATGTGGGCAGCACATGGTGGGTGAAGCGTACAGGCTGCTCCAGATGCAACAGCAATACATTGGACTTTGGCACCCCCTCAAAGCAGTTCACCCGGCGAATTTGTTCGTGATTGCTTCTATGGGCCGATCGTTTTGTTTTTCCGCCGCCCAGCAAAACGCTGACGTAGTGGGTCTCCAAATCAATGCCAGATAGACAGCTCTCGTGGACCAAAACCCAATGCTTGTCGATCAGCACTCCGATGCACCAGAGATCGCCATTCGAATAGACATCTGCCAGCCAGGGCCAGTGCAGCTCCTCGATGGCTTCGTGGAGCTTCTCATTCACCAGTATGGTTTTATTCTTTTTACTCTTAATGAGATTATCCAGGCGGTCGAGTATCTCATCCTTTTTGTTCACGACAACCGCAGGAATTTGCGGCTTAAAGTGCACATTCGGTGTGTTGTGGGTCTCGATGGTGGGCAGGAGTATGGGAACCTGCTCCATTGGCTTTTCTTTAACAGCTTGGCCGGCACTAAAGGTTTTCAGTGGAGTGGTTTTATTGGCCAGCAAATTGCACTCCACGTAGATGCCCACACATTTGCGGGGCAGTAGACGATCCTTTTCTGGTCTTGAGGCGGATGGTATACCAATTTCGGGGATTATAACCTCGTTTTCTGTCAACTGGATATTGTCACCGACCATGGCGCGAAGTTGGGCCACCATGCGGGTTCGGCCTCCCTTTAACTCTGGCGTAATGGATTGCATTTCCTGCTGGGTCACAAATTCCGAGCTATTGAAGTAGTGCGCCCCCTTGAAGCCCAGAAGGGCACACACCGCATCCGCCGTGTTGGCCTGGTGCTCATGGTAGCCCGTCTCATGGGCACAGACCACTCGCCACACGCCGTGGGCATTTCTGGAAAAGATTCCAGCGCTGCTGAATTTGGGCTGCTGATGAACGTCGAAGTGCACATCGTGGCCATTGGTCAGGGCAACTGGGAAATCAAATTAAAGAGAAATTTAATTCTGGGTAATTTTTAACGGATGTAAATGATATACTTACAGCAATCCTTTTCATCTTCCTTGAATTTACAATCGACTACATTATCGCAACGTTTGCTTGAAGGCAGACAAGTTTTGGACAGGGGGCAACGGAACTCGTTAGCTTGACAGTCCACTGGTTAAGTGGTTGAAATATATTAAATATATAAAATATTAAAATTAATTTTTTTCAATCATTATTACCGCAGTTTTGCTCATCCGTGAGATCCTCGCAATCCGCCTTGCCATCGCAAATGAGACCCTTTAGAGATCCCTTCATATAATCCCTGCATGTGCAGTCCAGTTCATCAGTTCCATCTTCACAGTCCACTTTGCGATCACAACGCATCATCATATCGACAATTTGGGACATTCTGTATGGAATAATATACATTTAATAAGAAATTAATTTAAATTAAATTAAATGTAATTACTTTTTACACACAAATTTGTTAGGAATTTGTATTTGATCCTTTTGAGAATGAGCTTGATGAGTGGTGGTTGCCTTTGTAGATTTTGGCGTGGTAGTTGGCGCTAATGTGGAAGCGGTGGTTTCTACAGGCTTTTCAGTGGTTGGAATGGTAGTAGAAATTGTGGTTAGAGGTGTGGTGGTGATGCTGACGCCACTGCGTATTGTAGTTGTGATCTCTGTAGTAGTGGTCTCCTTTATTTCCTCTGTAGTTTCTGTTCTTGCAGCTTCAGTTGTGACCAGAAGGGAAGTGGTTGTTACTATTTCCTTAGTGGAACTATCTCCAAGAGTAGTACTCTCTATAAACTGAGTAACCAAATCGGTGAATTTCTTCAAATCCTCAGTTGATGTGGGTATTGCTGTAGTCGGACCATCAGTATTTGGTAAAGTCGATTGTGTTTTCGATTCAATTGTAGTCGATGAGGTTTCGATTGTTGAAGATGGAAAGGTGGTTTGTGAACTTGTAGATGTTATTATAGTTGAAGGATTTGTGGTTGAATCAATCGTGGTAGAACTTTGAACCGTGGTCTCCCCTATTGTTGATAAACCACTTGAGGTAGTTGAGGTAACTTCTTCAGTCAAGGAAACATCCATTTGCCCTTCGGTGGTTTCAGATCCCTCCGAAGAAGTTGTGCTCTCCCAGGCATCCTCCTCCTCATCCTGTTCCGCCTTCAAATCATCATCTTCAATCTCAATAACTTCTCGCATTTTGTTCTCTGGATGATAGTCACTCTCGGTTGTGCTGCTCACATTCTGTCGTACGCTACCCACCATATCGGGTATGAAGTTGTACTCACATCCGACCTCATCCTCACCACCTAGACAATCGACATTACGATCGCAGCGCTGACGTTTGGCTATACACCTTTTGCCGCCCCAGACGCAAATGAATCCGGGACAGAATTGAAGTGGCTGACGGGTGGGCAAGAGACGCGGAGTAACAGCCATTTCCAGCCAGTCCAAGTACAGAGTCACCCTCGTGTAGACTCCGAATTCCTGAGGGCGAGCACAGCCGTTGCCGTGACTCACCACCCCGGCCAGGTAGAATTCCTCCGGCCGAGAAACGCTGCGACAGAAGAGCGGGCCACCCGAGTCACCCTGGCAGGCATCGCGTCCTCCGTTCGGATCGCCGGCGCAAATGTCCTCCGAAGCCTGATCCTCGGGGTCAGTGCATTGTTTGCGTATGGGTACTATAACCTGACGCATAGGATCACCTGGGTAAATATGATATATGATATAAATAAATATAAGAAAATGTAAATCAATTACTTACTGCTCGGCCCCTTCTCTCGAATGGCTCCCCATCCAACCACCGTGCACAAAGTGTTTTCTTCAGGTCCCCAGATCCAATCCTCCCCCATCGTTGTTCTTCCCTTGTCGGGCAAACAGATGGGCTTAACCCAGCGATTGAATTGCAGCGGATTAATCAAACGGAGCAAGGAGAGATCATTCCGCATGCTCCTTCTTTCGTAGGCCTGGTGGACCACCACATGGGAAACGGGCTGGATTTGGGTGGCCGGTGAGTAACTAGTGCGCCGCAGGAGACCAGCACGCACCTCGTAGAAGTACTTTCCAAAGTTTATGACACAATGGGCAGCGCTGATAATCTGTAAAATAAGTATAACAAAATATTAATAATAACTATTATTTTATTTTTTAAATTACCAACTCACCCAACGCTCGGAGAAGATGGTTCCGCCACAATGGAATTTGCCATCTCGGTAGATAGCAACCACAAATGGCCAATGGAGGGCACTGGTGTAGATTCCACCCACAATGCGCCCATCCCCAACGATTTCCTTTGACTCCGCTACAGCTCTCTTCACTTTCTTCGAGTGCTCCGTCTTCAAGTTCTTCGTGGGCACGCCGCACTGCATCGGTGGGCACTTGACAAATGCCACGTGATCCACCAGAGAATCGTGGCTATTGCGTCCATGACAGGCCTGAGCGAAGTGCACTCCGGCATGCAGGGAGGGCTCAATGAAGGGACCCTGTAAAGTGAGGGTCCGAAAGGTGACATTCAGCCGACCCTTTTCCTCAAGCTCGCAGGCTGAAGCCGCCCATTTTTCGCCATTGTTGCACACAGGATGCCAATCTCCGCGATAATTGTGGTACAAATAACCCTCAGAAGCAGAGGCAGCATGCGACTGGAAAGGTTTAGAAATAAATATTATAAAAGATACTCAAGTAATTTATCAACTGACCATATGATCCGACACATCAGTGACCAACATGCTGCACTGCTCCTCATCGCGTCCATTCAAGCAGTTCATGAATCCATCACAGCGCTCCTGCCGATTGTAGCACATGGAAATCGTCGAGCGATTGTGCCTGGCGAACTCCTCGGGGTACTCATAGCAGGAGTAAGCCAGCGGCTCGCAGCCAAAGCAGCCCAGTTCGTCCTCGCCCATGGGACAATCCGCATAGCCATCGCACAGGCGTTCTTCATCCACGCGATCCGCACAAGTGCAGGCGGACTCATCACTGCCATCCGAACAGTCCACCACATTGTCGCACCATCGCGACGCCGAGATGCACTCTTTTTGGCCAAAGCAGGAGACCTGATCCGGCTCTGGGCACCTGGAGCGCTGCTGAATCGATTGCTGCGGCACTCCTGCGTAGCTGGCGTAGATAATCTGTCCCTGGTGTTGCGAGGAGCTCGACTGATTGGCATGCATCCGCATCTTAAAGTTGGCATTGGAGAAGGTCGTCTGCTGTCCACCCTGCTGACTGGAAGTCTGTGATTGTCCAGCTCCCGGATTTCCCGATTGATTCTGCATGTAGCTGCAGTAGACCTGCTGCTGCTGACCATTTGACTGTGGTTTCTGTGGCGAGGCATTCTTCGAGAAGATATTGGCACCCTGACCACCGGCTCCGGATCCACCGCTTCCACCGAAAAAGTTACCACTCGGTCCAAATTGCTGAGGCACAAAGAATATTCCATTGCCGGGATTCGAGGATCCTCCAAAGTGCGAACCCTGCATGCCCATAAACGTGGGCGTGTTTGACCACATGGGCATTCGGAAGTTGGCGGGCGTCATGTAGAAGCAGACTGGGATGCTGGGCATCCCAAAGTTGGGGTTAAACATAAACTGAGCCGAGGCCTTCATGGTTTCACCGGAAACTGGGAATCCGCCAGGAGCTCGGCTGGTGAACTGAACACTGGGTGAGGCCGTGAAGGTTTCGCCCTTCTCCTTGATCTCACCCTCGGCCATGGGGGCCACCTTATTGCGCATCTTCAGGGCCACTCGTTCGCACAGACTGAGGATCTGGACATCGGCAGCTGGGAAATAAGTGGGAAATTACATAGTTGCTTTAAAAAACTAAATTACTCTCACCATTCCAGATGTGACCATTGACCGGATTGAGTTTGGGTCCCATTTTGTCCAGCACCTTGGCATCCAAACCCGTTCCAAAGGTATCGATCAGCTCGTTTTGATTTGCCTTGGCCTGATCCTCAAACTTCTTTAGCCAGAGCTGATGTTCATGGGCATCCGTGGAGTTTTCCGATGAGGATTCATTGCCACCTAGCACTCGAAGGATGGGCTTTTCTTCTTCGTGTCGCTCAAAGCTCTCCAGCATGTTTTCGATACTGCTGGGATTGTCCAGCGGATGAAAGGATCTCGGGGATTCCGTATCTCTTATAGCTTCTCTGGTGGTCAACTTGGCAGGAGGCTGGCTGGTTGAGCTACTGATTACTTCAGCACTGGGTTCTCCGCCATCAATGATCCAGTCAAACTTTACCGGCTTTGGCTTGGTGGGATGGGCTGTGGAGTTGGCCTCGGTTGTGTTGATAACCGCAGTTGTTGCGGCAGTGGTGGTAATAGTGGTGATGGTGGAGTTTTCCTGCGTCTCCACAACTTCCTCCCCGTCAATAATCCAATCGAACTGCATCTTTCGCTGACCTGGCTCAGTTGTGCTATCTGCCAAGGTGGTGTTCGTATTTTCCTGGGGCTCCTCAACTTCCCTACCATCGATGATCCAATCGAAATTCAGTTTGGGCAGCTCTGTGGTGGCAATGGGGGCTTCTGTGGTACTGGTACCCACTGTCGCTGTGGTTGTGGTAGTGCTGCTGGCCTTGACTTCCGGCTCCACATCATCTTCTCCATCGATAATCCAATCGAAAGAGAGTTTTCGCTGAACGGTGGAGTTGCTGGTTTCAATTGGTGCCTCTGTCGTTGAATCCAACGATAAACCACCTTCTGTGCTGACATAGAAATCTGTATTAGTGGTTTCCGTTTCCATTTTCGTTTCTACTACTGGATTGGATTTTATAGAAGATGCCGATGTGGTGGTCACATTTCTAATGGTTCGCTGATTTGGTCCTTCAGTTGTGCGCAAAATCTCCTGCGGCTTCTCAAAGTGATCCAGAATCCAGCTGATCTTCTCCGTTGTGCTCTCCGCAGCCAACTTTTCGCTGGTGGTTTCAACTACATCTCGTGTTCTTGTATTCTCCACCAATTGTGTGATGTTTCCCGGCTCCTTGGTAGTTTCTTTTTTGGGCGCATCATGTGTGTAAACTGGACTCTCATCATGATCATGACCATCGATTATCCAGCTGATCCTGGCGGGTTTTATCTTGGTTCTCGGAGGCTTTTCAGTGGCATTACCCACGGTAGTGGTTGTGGATGCAGTGGTCTCTTGGACCAGATCTCCGGGAGGAAATGTACCACTCTGCTCATAGGATTCCAAACTGATAGATTCCACTTTCGGCTGCTGCTCCCGCATAATGGCCTTCATCTTCTCCATTTTCTCGGTCACCTCCTTGGCCATTTTGTACATGCGCAGGAAGGCGGACATGCAATCCTGCGGAGTCTGCTTCTTGCATCGCACAAACTCGTGCTCCAGTTGGCTGAGAGCTTCTCTGGCCCTTTTGCTCCTCAGCTTGGAGTACAGACTATGCAGACTGATGCCCTCCATTCGTAGGGGATCCAAAGAATCAAAGCTTGGCAACTCGCGGCGCGTGCGATGTTTCTTATTTAATCGGAACTTCACCAGCATTCGCTTCAAGTGCTTTCTTCTCCTATTTTTGCTATCGTCCAAATCTTTATTCTTATCCTCGTCAAGCAGTTTGAAATGCAAGGTTTGAGGACTCACAATCAGAGCAGACTGATCCTCTTCGAAGGGCTGGTTGAAAAGTTCCTTGTGCCTGGCATTCAATGCGGCAATCTGCTGTACGCGATCTGTAAGTAATTTATATTTAGATATTTAAATCCCATTAATCTTATATTTCTTAAACTTACCTATTCTCTCCACCACAAGGCCATGATAGATCAGGGAAAAAAGCAGTACGATGATAACCAGAATCGAGATGGCCACTATGCGTTTGCTGAATCCAGCGCTCCACCAACGACGAGGATGACGCAGTAGCCTGGTGGCCTCCAGCTCTAAAGAATTCCAGTTTAAATTATTGGCTTTATAAAATACTTTATGCAGAGCCAATTACATTTTCCACAAAATCATACAAGAACTAATTGTTTATCACCCAATTGCATAATTATTAAATTGTTTACTTGTACAGTTTTTGTTTTAACTCCAATAAAAATGTAGTTTACATACTTTTATTTTCAACACACTTAATTAAGCATTTTTTATTTATTTATTTTGGTCAGCACTTTCTGGCCTCTTCAGCACTTTCGCAATAATTTTGATAATAATGCTGATCAAAGTTGGAAATTAATTGGAACTTTCCAACTTTTTATGGAATTTACTTTCTTGCTTAAAATGTTAAGAGACGTGGGTGAAAAATGTAATGTGGTAATAAAAAATGGTATTAAACTTTCTGTGCATAGTTTGCCAACGTGTACGAAAATGACAAAGTTTATAATAATTGGAAAGTTATTAAATAGGTGCACTTGGTGTTCTATCGTTAAATATTTAGTATGATAATATTAATTATGTTTTATATATTAAAGGCAGTTTTAATTAAATTTTTGATAATTGTTAACCACGTTGAATGTTAATTGTTAAATAAATACACTAAGTGAATTATTTTTTATGTATATATATATATGTTGTTTATTATATTTTAAGCTCACACGTACCATCCATGTTGTAATTCATTATTATTCACAATATTTCCTTTGTTTCTGGAATATGACTTAAGCTCTTGACATTTTTGGAAATGAGCTCTCACATTAACTTTTTCGATTTAAAATCGCTGAAGAATATTTTTTATCTTTCTTGTTGTTTTATTTATATGTTTAGCACTTTGTTAAATTGGCTGGCCAACAATGAGCCTCGGGTTACAGCGATTCACTCAAACAAAAATCCACAAAAAGCGATTGCAAAGACCGAATTTGATATCCACAGTAATCCAGAACGATAATAACCGCGCGATCCGCCCGGCAAACGGCAACTGAAGCCGGCGGTGGTTGAATGCCGCTTATAAGGGCTTCCTGAAAGTGGATCACCGGGCAAACGACCCACTTCCACCGGCCACAGCTGCACTTTTCTGCTGCGTTTTGAACTTTAAGGTTTTTTGGTTAATGAAAAATGGCCCGGCAACTGCGGCGGTCAGCTCAAAATGACCGTCGAAAAGTGCAAGTTGAAGGGGAATTTGCAGAGCAACGAACCATCCACCCACCCAAAAATGCAAAAAAAATGTAACTGTGTAAACCAACCAGCCAAGGTGTTTAATGTTGGCACTTTTACTTAGCTAAGCAGGCCTGGGCTGAACTCTCAATTGTCACTCAGATGTTTCCAAATCACTTTTATACAAATTTCGTACAGCGCACTCAAAATACAAATATTTTTGTTCGATATTTTAAGGTTCCAAAAAAAAAAGGCTTGACCACAACGTCAATTACCCAAAAAATATAAAAAAAATACACCAACTGTAGTAAAACAGAAAAACATATGCATCTTCCTTAGAAAACCTCCAAAAATCTTTATCAAAATTTTACCATCAGACATAATGTGAGTAACAGCGAAGATTTAAAGCAGGAATCGAGTGTCTGAAAGTGTTTTTCCCCTTGAACCCACAGAACTCAGTCAATTAAAATTGATGCGCAAGCACAGAAAGTTTATGACCTTTCCAGCCAGCAAGTCTGAATAGCCAAAGTCTTTAAATACGGTATGTGCAAGGGGGTACCTTATCAATTATCCTTTATATCGAGATAACCATAATGATGTGGACCCGAACAAGACTCGCCCTACGTAGCATTGCTAGATCACAAAGGTAGGTGGCAGATTATGATAATAGCAGATAACAGTTTATCAAATATTAATGAAAATGAGTGATATCATATCTTTTACAAAATTGTATATATATCCTTTAAATGCATTTATTAACTGAAAAGTATACCTTTTAGATAGTTGTTATTTACCAATCAGTTTACCTTTAATTGTTGCGTGAAATTAACAAAAATTCCTTTAAGTTTAAACATACAGAGATTCATTAGCGGAAAATACAATTTTCAACCGAAATCAATTAATTAAATATTGAAAAGTTGTCAACAAATTTTCTGAGAAGTAAGAAATATAGGTAGATATGAGAAACTGAAAAAGCTATATTTCGCTTAGCTTGAGGTTTAGATTAGTTAACAATTAATTTGTTCGATAATATATACATATCAATGGGTAATATGAATAGGAATGAAAATGTGTCATCTTAGTCTTCTACTATAGATGTGTTTCAGAAAAGAAGAAAGCTTAGTTTACTAACTTGAGATTGAATGAAGTGTCCATGTTGAGAATTTTTATATGTCATCCGTTCCGGTCGGAATTTTCTTGGTCAAGGACTGTTCTTCGTAAAGCTCCTCCAGCAACTTGCGGAATAGTTCGGGGCTAATGTTGTTGCCCACGCGCATCAGAACGAACCAATCGCCAAAGCTGCAGTTGCGCAGAGCCACCTGCAAGTGCGACTTTGGCATGAAACGAGCTCGGGCCCGCAGCAATTGCAGTCGCATTCCGGGATACAACACGGTGGCCAGACGGTAAAGGAACTTCAGGCTAACCAGACAAGCCACCAGAATAAACCATACCCACAGGAAGGCGAATATCTTCTCGTTCAGTATGTTCAGAGGCAGCAGGCACAGGTGGTCGTATATGTTTGGCGAGCCGCTGGGACCGCCCTTGTACACTTCGCACTTGGCACACTTGGGGAAGACCTGCATTGTGATACTGTTCCAACTGTTGAAATCGCCATCAGAAAGTGCCAGCAAGGCGTCCCAGTAGCGGGCCCAGAAACCGCCGAAAAATAAGTCCAGGAGAACAAAGTTCAGAATCTGTAAAGCAAAGGAGGGGTTTGTATGATTAGTAATTATGATTAGTAATTAAAGGGAAATTAGCAATAAAGATATTGAGGAGTTAGGAAGTTGGATAGTAAAAACCAAGGCTCTTTAGATAAAAATAGGTAAAAACTGTTTATACTTTAAATCTACCTAAACTATAAGCTTATCACGAAAATGGGTAAAATTAATGTATTAATATGGTATATTATATAAAATAGGAAGTAAAATATTTAAATAATAGTAAAAGAAACTACGAAAACTAGCTGTTAGTAATTAATAATTAAGGAACTAAGACTAATTGTTTTAATAAACTTGAATCTGAGCCCAATGTGACTATCAAATAAATTAATTATGTATAAAAATATTAGAACACTGATTCGGATTAAATTAAAACTTAAATCGAGACAAGTACATATGGGAGACAATTTAAAGTTTCTATTTCGGTACAAATTATTATAGTTTAAATAAAAGATATAAGTGTAGAAGTAGCAACTCACACTGATGGTCAGATTGAGGACCTCGCAGAAGACATAGCTGACGAAGTAGCGGAAGTGGGTCTCCTTGTAGTCGCTGGAGAAGTACTTGACCAGCACACGGAGATGGGTCCTGCTCTTGTCCTTGCAAACCATTTTGTGGAAGTCATCGCACAGATGCTTCAGCCTGCCGCCCTCCCAGATCTTCCAGAGGAAGGCGGGCAAGTAGAAGACGAAGGACTCTAAGAGCAAGACGAGAACGACCCACTGATAGTAGATGATGTAGCGGCGTTTCTCCATTGCAATAGTACCCATGGTATCTAAAGTGGAGATTCGATTAGAAGGGATTCTTTGGGGGATTTACACCTGGGATTTACTTACCTGGTCGGCACTGCGCTCCGCCGTTGGCCAGGGGCTCCGCGGTCTCGTTGCCATGCACATAGGCACCGTAAATCCAGCAGAAGGCGTGCACAAAGTCCATGTCCGTGTGGCCCAAACACTGGATGGGATCCCCGAAATATTGTTTCGAGGAGAGCAGAAAAGTGCAGGCCAGCAGCAAAGCCACCGTCACTTTCGAGTGCAGCGTGAAAATGGCATCGTAGATGTGCACTGACTTGAACTGCAGATACTTGGAGAGCGGTTTGACAGCTGTGTACATTTTGGCGTGTTTATTTTAATCACTTGTGGGCTTAAAACACAGATTTTAAATGAAGCTTGTAATTCGAAGAAAACTAAATAATTCCAAAAGCACGCGGCATTCTAACGGTTGATGTGCACTGCTGTTGTCTCTTTCCTGCTGCCGCCAGAGCGAGAGAACTATACGTACAATGTGCATTTCACAGCAACCAGCTTTTTGTCGATTGCTAAAAAGGTCATACTAATTTTGTTCGGTACAGTAAAAATTGTTTCATACAAACTTTTGTAATTTTATAAGCTTTAATATTTTTTGTATATTATTTATTTAAAATCTGTATAAATTCAGTACAGAGATCGCTTTCTGTTAATGAATAGAGTAAATTAGGCTAAATACGTGTTTAGAGAGACTATGCATCCCCAACATTTGGATGAAAATCTGATTGAAGTACGAATTCCAGAAAGCGACCGAAAACTTCGCATCAATGACAAGATTGTAGGGAATACTGGAAAATAGTTTTGAAATCCAACAGATTTGTTTTTTTTATATTTATATCTCTCACTGTAATTTTAAAAAATTCCATATTTGTTTGGCACCAAAAACAACATTCTATAAATTAAATATTTAAATTTGTAGATTTGCTTTAAGTGGAGACCCCTGTAGGCGATATATATTTACGTTCTACTGTGTGTGAACGCCCTGTGCGAACGTCAGTGTGAACGGTGCCTAATGCCACTTTCGCCTGGCGTGAAGTGCTGGATTTTCAGCTTGTCAGCCGTCTGGTCATACCGCACATGTGCACATGTTAAATCTTCATGTTGACAAATCGAAACCTGCTGAAAACTACCGATAATTAAAGAAAATCTCAATAATTTCGCCTGCAGCCTGAACGGTAAGCGCAGCAGCATGAAGGAACAGCTGTCGGCGAAGCAGCACGAGCGCAACGAGAAGAAGAAAAAGAAGCTGGCGGCGCTGGCGAATCTGATGGAGCTGAACGACCGCGATCGCCTGCACGAGGCGGAGCTGGCCAAAAAGCGGGATGCCGAGGTGGCGGAGGCCCAGGCGGAGGGGGAGAAGTCGCCGGAGGACGAGGACGACGGCTTCATCACGGTGGGCAGCAAGCGGAAGTCCCGCAAGCGGAACGCCAACCGCAGTGACCAAAATCCCGAAGAGGCGGAGGATGCAGGAGGAGCTCCTGCTGATTCTGAGCCAGTGGTCAAGAAAGGCCGCAAGGAGCAGGCCGGAGGAGGCGACAGCCTGCCCCAGGAGATCACCTCCCTGTCCGAGGAGCAGTACAAGCAGCTGTCGGCGGAGCTGCGGCGCCGCAAGCGCCAACTCGAAGATGTTCCCGGCCTGAGGCTGCGCGAGATGGGCCAGCGCGCCTCCCTGGAGACGCCACAGCAGGCGCGCACTCCCATCTTCCTCACAGACATCCAGAACCTGCTGATGTCCGCCCTGATTGGCCAGAAGAGCCCCTGCCGGCCGGATCGGTGGTGCAGCGTGGAGAAGTGGCTCAGCCTGTCGCACAGCGTGGTGGTCATCCTGGAGGGTCTATCTCTGTATCACTACCTCTCCAACGAGAGCAAATTCGAGGCCACCAACAAGATATTCAGCACCAAGCTGGAGATGCTTCTGCCGCCGCAGGACGAGGGTCAGATCATCGACGAGATAGCCAAGGTGGGTAGATCATCGCAACTATTAAATCCTGATGTAATCCTGATGCTCTTCCCCACAGATACCCCTCACCAATGTGCAGGCTCGCCAGCTGATCGACGAGCATGGTTCCCTGGAATCTGCCGTGGAGCTGAACAAAGATCCTACACTTTTCGTGAAGACCATCTTCCCCATTGAAAGCAAAGCGACGGCACCGCCGGATGACCTGCACAAGGATGACAAGTTTCCGCGCACCAAACTCCTTCTATCCGCCCTCCAAATGGTCGACGAGGGCTATCCCATACCGCTGCAGGGCGAGCTGCACGCCCGCTTCCAGAGCTTCAAGTTTACCAAGAAAGCGTATGAGCCGGTGACCAACCGCAGTCCCATGTTCGGTGTCGATTGCGAGATGTGTCAAACGGAGGCGGGCTTTAACGAGCTAACGCGTATTTCCATTGTAAACGAACGCTATCAGACGGTGTACGAAACGCTGGTGATGCCCAATAACAAGATCACCGACTATTTGACCCAGTACTCGGGCATCACGGAGGAGATCATGAAGAAGGTCACCAAGACGCTGAAGGATGTGCAGAAGGAGGTGTCCGAATTGCTGCCCCCGGATGCTATACTAGTAGGCCAGTCGCTGAACTCCGATCTGAACGCCATGCGAATGATGCATCCGTATGTGATTGATACCAGCGTGTGCTTCAATATTTCCGGCGTGCGAAGGCGCAAGAGCAAACTGAAGCACTTGGCCAAGACCTTCCTGAAGGAGATTATCCAGGAGAACGACGACGGTCACGATTCCATTGAGGATTCGCGAGCCACGCTGAAGCTCGTCAAGATGAAGCTGGCCAACAGCATCGAGTTCGGCGATGAGATTCTCACACAGCAGAAGCGATTGCAGGAGCTGGCGAACGCCTCGAGCGGCGACACCATCAGCAATAACCTATTCGCCCATGTGGCCAAGCGGGATAAGCGCACGGCCATCGTCACGGTCGGCGATTTGCAGCCGCGGCTCAAGGATGTCATTGAAAAGGCAGGCGAGGCGGCTCCCAAGGACAACAGCCTGGCAGTGCGGGTCCACGAGGTGTCCACCTCCAAGGAGGCCGTGCGCAAGGTCAATGAAATTGCCTTGGAAAACGCCCTCACAATTGCCAATCTTCGCGTGCCCGAGCAGGACTTTGTGTTGGAGAACGCGGAGCGAAATGTGGCCAAACTGGACAAGACCATCGATCGCCTTTGGAATTCGGTTGCGCACAACGGACTCTTCCTTGTGCTCATGGGCGGCTCAACGGAGTGCAGCAAGGGCTTGGCCAAGATAGCCATTAAGCGCTTGAACGGATCGGAACAGACTAGTGCGCCCATCGGAAGTTAGAAAACGAATGAGAATATATATGTCTCCTGTTATCCCTATTGCTACCCCAGTCCTTCTGCCAGCGGGACACACTCTGGAAAATCGTTTCCGGTTTCTGGTGTGTCCGCTGGCCAGTCGGAGTCCCGCAGCGGATTTAAATTTGCCGTATCCATCCCCAAGACATGACCAACAATTGTTTCACCACACACAAATCGAAAATGCGCTACATGAGCTTATCTATGGAAAATTGTCAAATTAACAAAAAAAAATTCCCTCAAAAACGAATAATAAAATGTACATTTATTTTTTTCACAAAACCTACGTTTTTTTGCATCTTTGATTTTAAAGGCTTTTTTAGATTTCATGAATATTTAAGACCACATTTCTTTATGGGTATTAATATCAATTTTTGATTGTAAAGACTTCTCTTCGGCAATATAAATTAGTAAAGAATATTAGAAAATTAAAAATTTAAAGAATGTTGGATGAAAATATTATTGCAAGGGTTTTTTGGTTTCTCATAGTCAAATATATTCGTGCAATATGAATTAGTAAAGAAAATTAGAAAATTAGAAATTCAAAGAATGTTGGAAGAAAATATTATTCCAAGTGTTTTTTGGTTTATCTCATCGTCAAAAATGTTAGTGCATTAGTAAAGAAGATACAAAATTAAAAATTTAAAAAATGTTGGAATGTTGGATATTGGATATTATAAGATATTTATAAGGACTTTTGATGTGTGTTAAAAATCGCATTTTATTTAAAGGATACTTTAAAAACTTCATCCATTGTTTATTGAACCGAAATACCAATCGTGCCTGAAGACAATTAGAAAACGATTTTCCGGTCGGGGCATTCCAAACTGGTGGGCGATGGGATTTGACCTAGTTTCGGTTAGTTTGCATTGCCCGATATTTGTTGCTGGCTCTCGCTGGCCCGCCTGGCCTGGTGTGTTGATAACAGCCATAAATTTCCTACCTCCCTCAATGCAGAGCTCCGTTGTCTAGGGCCCGAGCCCGAAAAATGGGCCTCCCTATTGCGCCCACGCACTCTCGCTCTCCCTGGCTTTTCCATTTCCCATTTCCCTCACTCTCTCTCTCCGGAAAGGGAAAGTCCCCCGAATCTGTGTCTTATCACACGCTCGAAAATGTTGCGTCTTTTCACTGCTCATACGACCTGTGGGTCGTTCTCGCACTTTTCCTGCGCATGTCCGTCCGAGGAAAAGCTGCTGAGAATTTTCCCCTTAGCCCGGTGGAAAGTTGCCAGACGGCTGGTTTCTAGCCATCAACTGCCAAATATTTAAAAAACTGTATTTTATTTAGGTCGAATATTTGTGATTCCAGTTTGGAGCACAGCAAAAAAGTGAAAATTTTAAGGATCAGGAGGGATCTAAACCCTATGGGAGCCTTATATGGGACATGGCTCAGTACGGTGGCAACGCCAGCCCGGGAAATTTGGTATGTTTTCCTGCTGTCTCGTTTATTTTTCATATTTTTTTCGGCTTGGCGCTCTTCGTACAAATTCTGTATTGTATATACGCTTTTCGGCTCTCGAGCGGAGACGTTGTCGTTGTTTTGGCTGCCTTTCCCAATTCCGTTTGGCACGAGGCGCGCAAAACTCTCGGATCGCAAAGATATACACGCGAGTCGGAGTGCTATATAGCCAACAAATATCTGTATATCCACGGGTGCGAGCGGCCTTAAATTGGCATAAACAAATTTAGAGTAAACAGAAAATGCATTAAACTTTGGCATCGCGGCGGAAGTTTGCAGATCTAACAACTGGAAATTGGCAAAAATAATATAAGGAACTAAAAAAAAAACCTATCATCACAAAATTTATAAACTAGGGTAAGTTTCTGTGTGGGTAATTAATCAAAATGAAAGAAATGCTGTATACAAACAGAGGCGAGCAATTGGCCAACATAAATTGTGTATCCATAAAATACACAGACACTGGCGAATGAAAGCCTGTTCAAAGGAAAGTTTTTCCGACTATGTGTGTGTGTGTAGGTGGGCTGTAATAATGTGTGTGCTTGAGTGCCCAGTCGGAAGTTTGGGAGTGGTCGGCGTTTCGGAATGCTTCCGGAACGCATCTTTGTCCACAGAAAAAATGCGATACAATGTTGGACAGCATCCAGAATGCATTCTAAATGCATTCCCAATCATCACTCCCCTATAGCTTTTTTAGAAGGCAAAACGGGAGCGATCCGTGCAATCGTAGCTTCTCGTACGTCGCAGCCGAACCCTTGCCGAAACCCGAACGCTGGCCGATCGTTCGTTTTTTTTTTCAATCGGTGCAATCATAGCTTCCATCGGAATGCATCCGGAATGCATCCATTGGCATGGAAAATATGAAATGATAATCTTAAACGGTGGTCTTGAAAAACAAATGAAAAGAACAAAAGAGACATTGCAAGAACGCGCGCGGTTTTTTCGTTTCTTATGCATTTCTTCTCACTTGCTTTTTGGAATCTGACCAGTTAAGTGTTATTGATTTTTCGGTTAAACAATTTTAAGTTCTATAGTTTAAGTTTAAGTTTATAGTTCTTTAAATCAAACATTTGTGCTTTTCTGTGCCAAGTAAGTATAGTGCGGTGATAAGTGGAAATAAAAAATAATAACTTTACAAAAAAATATACCTCTAAAGAGGTAAAATAACTAACTAAATAAAAGTGTATTTATTTTTGTAAACAAACAAAATCAATTGCGTGTGTGTGTCTAATAAACAAAGCGGTTAAAATAATTCTTATTCGGCCACTGCATCGCGTTGTTTACGGTTTTTGCCTATGCACAGTGTTTGTACATACAGTGAACCCAACAGTGAACGGACACCCATTTTTTTCTTATAATAATACTGCCCTAAAATCATACAAAAAAAGTGAAACACAAATTTTTGGATCTTTTTTAATATTTAGTGTTATCCATTAATAGCCTCCATATTTAAAACACAACTCACAACAATCATAAAAATAAAATAAACAATCAATTAAAATCAGTTATGAGTTGTGTTTTAAATATGCAGGCTTTTTGTTTTTGTTAAAATATTTAGAGCTGTCAGTGGAAGCTTAAAATAAAGCAGTTTTATGATAGAAAAAAATGGGTGTCCGTTCACTGTTGGGTTCACTGTACCTGCTGTGTGCCGAATAAGAATTGTTCACAACATTATACTAACTAATTATTGTTTTTATTTTTTGCATGACCTCTTGGACGGATTTTTGACAACGGAAGAACAACAACATCAAAACCTGTAAGTATTAAATTTAATTGTAATTTCTGTGTAACAAAAGTGCCGTTTTGTTTTCATTTCTTGGTTTCATGTGTTCCCTTTTTGTTTTCGTTTCTGTTAAGGTGGACCTATGTCCTTTTTTTATTTAACTCTAATTTTAAAACGTGCGTATTTTTTTTTCAGATTTCGATGTTTAAAGCCTATATTGGGGACTCGCTTTCCAAAAACCTCAGCCGCATTATCAGCCCAGAGCTGATAATGCAGATGAATTATGCGGGCTGTAGACAAAAGGAAGGGTTCTCCACATTTGCTGCGTTGAACGCAGTAATGTACGGTAAGTGTTAATCATTATTGATGTTAATTTTGCGATTTCGTCTAACAACATTTTAAAACGCTATATTTTGCAGAATCTCAAAAGAGGGAAGGCTATAGGCATGAAGATTTTATAAAGGATATTCGAGCCGCCTTTACCCGACAAAAAAACCGGGTCTATAAGGACGCTAGCAAAAGAAAGGCGACGACGAGCAAAGACAAAGGACCGGACAAGGACAACGATTTGGACATCGATATTGAGGATGATGGGGAAGACGTGGTAACTTAAATTAGTTTAATATGTGTGAAAAGAAAAACAATGAAATAATAAAAAGTGAAGTTAATAAAAAACGTATTTTTAAATCGAGTAGAAATAATTTTTTTCAGAAGCACTCTAAAAGATGCGTTCCAGAACGCATTTTTTTGAACGCAACCAAAAGCACCATTAAAGATGCGTTCCAGTACGCATTTTTTGAACGCAACCAGAAGCACTCCAAAAGATGCGATCCGGAACGCATCTTTTGGAACGCATCCACAAGCATTCCAAAAAATGCGTTCTGGATCGCATCTTTTGGAAGGGAAAAATGGAAACCAATCCCGAGCGTTTCCGAAGTTTCCAGCCAAGCTCGATGCGTGAAAAGGGAGCGCTCCAGGAGGGCTCCAGGAGCGATGAATCGGAATGCATCTTTTTTGTCCCGCTTTGCTGTAAAAAGGAAGTGAGAAGTGCATCGATTCGGCATGCATGCATCGGTGCTTCGGATGCTATCCATCATCCCTTCTGGATGCGTTCCACTTCCGACTGGGTGGGAAAGTCGTTCACTGTGTCAGTGTTTCATTGTATCATCATCAGCTGGGCATCCATCGCGCATACGCCGCATTGTCAATTGTTACGAGCACTCAGCACTCACGTCCATTTCCCAGCATCGCCCTTGGCACCAACTGGTTGCCCCAGCGACCCCAATCCCCCCCAGAATCATCACCCCCTCTTTGGAATCCCAGAATCGCGCTCTTGATATTGGCTATTGGCCCATGCCAAGCCCAAGCCCCATGAATTTAGCAAAGGTCTCCTCTTTCTTTTGTCGCTGATTGCAAATTTGTTCCAACTGTTTGCCTTTTCGCCCTTCGCCGCTGCTGCTCCACTTTCATTCAGCCCACTCGCCCTTTTGTTTTCCCCGCCGAACATGGAACATGTTGCGTAGGGTTTTCCTCTCCACCTCCCGCGATTTTCCTGCGTGTCGAGGGTGAGTTTTTCGCTTTTTTTCGGCTTCTCCTTTTCCATGTTTTGTTTGCGTTTCGGGAGGCGTCGCTTTTGTTAGGATCTGCCAGATGGGAAAGCCCAAAAATTTCATTTTCTATTGAAAGGCAAAGGAAATTGAATTTGTCGCCCTTTGTTTGGCTGCGTGGAAGTTTTAATTATTTGTGCATGGTTATTTTTTCCTACCATCGTTTTATTTGATTTTTCCGAAATAAAGATAGGAACATCTATATATGAATATACATATCTGTATTTTTTACAGCGGACAACGGTTTGCCGGGATTCCCCATTAAATAGTAATATGCGTTTCTTTAACTTCCCTTATCTTAGTAATAAATATTTGTTTTTTATGTGTGTTAAAGATTACAATTCTTAAGTCCAAGCAGCAACAGCGTTAATGTTCATTCTATAATATTTAGTCTTAAATAGATAAAACCATAAAGAAGTGTTTAATATTAATATTATAATTAAAAAAATCATGAATATACACCTAAACATACATATGTTTCAAGAACTTTTCAG